GGAAAATATCGCTTGGAACAATTTTTCTTTTTCGCTTCGAATATCCCCGAGAAACTCAAGCTTTTCACGTGTTCTGTAAATTGTAATTGTTCTCTGTGGTAGAAATTTCTTTGACGCGCACTTTGTAACGATAAATCGTCGAACACTTTCCAACGATTTGTCCTTTCTTCGCGCACTTACACACGCTCCAGTGTTCCAGACGTCGCGTTACAGAATCTACGGCGGAATAATTGCGGGACGTATGAATAATGTTGGAAAGAAGAAGCAAACCTGTTAAGAAAGGATCGACTTGAATGAATTAGACAAGACCAGAGAGAGAGAGAGAGAGATACCTTCGACAATAGCTCGGTGGTTAATAAATTAAACGAACTTTTAACTCGAGTGTCGCGAGAAAGAGAGAGACGTACACAGGTATGTTAAACGATGAAAAGTTGGCGATAGCGTAACAACGAAGGGATCTACATATTGAATAAATATGAGCAGAGGGTGTATCGAGAATGTGAAAAAATTGCGGTCTAATTAAATTACTTATGCAGCCATCGAGCATAGGTTACTCCAATTAAAGCGAAACAGATTCACGCTTATCGAGAGCAGCGGCGAGACAAAGGTTTCTAGACGGTGAAAAAAATGAAGGAAAACCACTGGATTTTCACCGTGTCATCGATTCGACGGACCTTTTCGAGTAGAAACTCGACTGACCCTCACTGGAGGAAATTAGAAAGCGAGTCACGATGGGAAGGACGAGTAATCCGTGGAAAATTCGGCGTATTGTTTTGTACGGGAACCGCCACGGGCGTCATTCTTGGCCGGAAGTGGGAAATATTGGCGAGTTTCCTCGGTGTCTTCCTCGAAGAGAGGGGACCGAGAGATAAGCAAGTGTTCGAGCACAATAAAGGTGTATCGATTCACAGCCGAACGCTTTTCATATGCAAACGTCGCGGCCGGCCATCCGTTAGGATTATTTCTTTAGATTTTCACGATCGTTCCTCTCTCTATGGGAGAGATGGCTCGCCCTTGCCGGGAGATGCGGCCGATAAAGGAGCGCATCGATCATGATTTATGGAGTTCCACTTACCGCGTGAATAGAGACGCCGCGGAAAAAATCCAAGCGACAACGGGAATTATTGTAAAGTTGAATTTATAAGGCGGAATTGCTTCTGGTGGAAATTAGAGGTGTCTGAGGGATACGAAAATTGGTGTGGATTCGTTGCAAGTCGTTAACCTGTTAACTCGTCGTTGCTTAGCCAATACTTAGAACATAATAATTTATTTATCGAGGGATTATTCATTGTAAAATACATCGTACTCACATTTGCAAGAACGAGAAGCAAGTAATTGGTTGTAATTCTTACTCATTTTTAATTACACATTAAAGAGATTCAATTTCTGTTTCAAAGGAGAACACAGTTAACAGATTAAACAAAATTTCTTCGCTGATACAGTATATTCTCCACAAGTGTCAGACCGCAAG